AACAGTTGACATAAACAACTGATGAGTGTCGATGCTTTCATATCCGGACAAGCGAAAGCAAATGGGAATCGCGAATACTCATCTATGATCGTTAGCAGATATTTGTTACGAGTAACCGAAGGTAAAGGTCCTTTAAAGTCGATGTTCAGGCGTTCAAACGGCCGGGTAGCCTTTATTAGTTTTCCCTGTATATGACGATGAAACCGAGGTTTTATTTGCGCACATACCCTGCACTGTGCGCCAACGGCCCTAACTTCGTTCAACGAATATGGGAGATTTTTCGATCTGACAAAGTGAAACATTCTTCGGACTCCGGGGTGGCATAACGAGGTATGTATGGTCAGCAGTTCGGAAGAATTAGACACGGAGCTACAAAACTGGCGGGATAGTGCGTCGGCAGCTTGATTCTCTTTGCCCGGACGATAAACGACATCATAACTGAAGGGAGAAAGTTCGATGCGCCACCGTAGTACCTTATCATTTTTAACTTTACCTTTATGGTTAGTATCATACATAAAGGCAACAGATCGTTGATCCGTTATCAACTTGAAGTGATTACCAATGAGGTAATGTCGCCATTTTCGTATAGATTCAACTACTGCATACGCCTCCTTTTCAACAGCGGAATGGCGTTGCTCAGATGGAGACAGTGTTCTGGAGAAAAAGGCCACTGGTCTTCCGTTTTGATTTAGGGTGGCTGCGATTGCCACATCAGACGCATCTGTCTCGACTACCAACGGTTGTGTGTAGTCGATAGAAACAACCAGGGCGTTAGCCAGTTCCGATTTCAGTACGTGAAACGCCGTTTTCACCGATTCAGGTAGAGGAAATATTTGGTTGTGCACGAGTGGATAAATTTTATCAGAAAAATGTGATATCCAGTGCGAATAGTATGAAAACAACCCGATCGCTCGCTGTTGGGATTTTTGGTTACTGGGTAGCGGAAGATTGCGGAGTGGTTGCAATCTATCGGGGTCTGGTTTGATAGTACCTTTAGATACTTCATAACCTAACAACCGTACAGTTCTTGTACAGATTGTACTCTTTGCTTCATTGAAAATGAGTCCGAAACGCCGCGCCACTTCTTTGAACTTGGCTAAATTAGCATCATGTTCTTCCATAGACTTACCACATATAGTGACATTGTCTATATATGCAAAAGTGTCAGCCAGTTTCTCTTTGGCAATGATTTCATTAATTGTGCGTTGGAAACAAGCAACGCCGTTCGTCACACCGAAGGGTATCCGACAAAATTGGTACAAATTGCCATCAGCCTCGAAAGCAGTATATTTACGTTCGTCGGCGCGGATAGGAATTTGATGATAGGCACTGCGTAGGTCGAGTGTGCTGTATAATTCATAACAAGCGATCTTTTCTATCATTTCATCGATGCGTGGGAGTGGATACGCGTCCAGATACGTATAACGGTTAATTGTTTGACTATAATCAACCACCATTCGTTTCTTGTGACGCTCGTTGGTTGTGACCAAGACTTGAGCGCGCCATGGTGACGTTGATGGCTCTATAACTCCATCACGCAACAGGGTATTTATTTCCTTGCGAATAAAAAGTTGATCAGGAAAAGACTGACGTCTGGTTTTTGTCGCGACAGGTTTACACATTGGTGATAGATTCTGGAACAAAGTCGGTTCAGGAACCTTAGCAGCTGTCAAATTGCAAAGGGAAACAGGTGGTCGGGAACCGCCGAATGGTATTTCTAATCCCTCGTGCAGGTTGAGGAAGTCGTGACCGAGCAACACATCAGCACATAGATGCGGCAGAACGGATAGCCTGACATTTTTGTAATCGAAGTCTTTTAGCTGTAGGTGCACCAGACAATGTCCAAGGGTATCACTCACAAAAGATGTGTTAGCCATAGAGATTTTGCTTCTTGATTCAAGTACTCGCCAGCTATACTTATTGACGACTGATGCTGAGATATAACTCTCAGAACTACCAGTATCGACTAGGGCTTGGAGACGGACACCGTTAACATGAACATGGCTAATCGCTCGTTGTAGGCATACGGGAGCAGACGCAACAGTAAGCGCCGACAACAAAGATTGAGTAGTCGCCGTCTGTGGCTTGATTTTCTGTTTGGAACGACAAACTGACTGAAAGTGACCCTTTTTACCACACAGCTTGCATATGGCATCTCTGGCGGGACAGGCTGTTCGCGGATGTCGGCTATAGCCACAAAAGAAACATTTATTAGTTACCGCAGAAACCAGGATTGTATCTTCTGACTGGGCTGTATCTTGAATTAAGCCACTTTGTGGAGCAGCGTTGCAAGGGTTGGATGAGATGGGTACTTGATACGACAATGCCTGTTTGTATGCCGATTCTAATGCTTTAGATTTTTCTACGGTTTCACGTAGCGTCAACGTATGGTGCTCCAACAACCTCTGGCGGATTTGAGTAGACTGAATGCCCGATATAAATGCGTCCCTGATAGCTTCGTCACGACGTACATCGCCTATCACACTTTGATAATTACAATCAACAGCTAACGTCCGTAACTTTTGCACATACTGATCGAGTGTTTGCTCATTGTCTTGTTTGCATGTGTGAAGAACGTGTCGAGCGAAAATTTCGCTTTTGGTGGGGGCATAGATTGAACAAAGAGTATCGACAGCTTCTTTGAAAGTGGTGCACTCAGAAACGGATTTATAGACAGAAGGAGAAAGATAATTGATCAAAAGTTCCAGTTTGTCCGGATTATGCGTCTCAATACAAGATAAAAAATGGGAGAATGTACGATACCAGTGAGTCCATTGGTCGGTTGCATCAGGAACGTATGGATCCGCGTCAAATCTGGCTGGTTGGATGAGAAATAGTATGTTGAATAACTTGTAGTGGGAGTCGATGACTTAGTTAATCGATTATTGATCCGTTGAGTAGAATGAGAAGACTTCGCCTAAGGATAGGCTTTATTCAACATATAAGCACAGTATAGGCTGAAATGACAAGTGAAAGTGAATTAATGGAAATAGCAGTAAAGCGTAACTTTCACTACACTACACAACTGGGTTGGACCAAAACCTCATGCTGGCAGATGAACCACTGGACATGGTAGACATCTTCGGTTACCTGTTGTATTAGTATAGCAGTAAAGCGTAACTTTCACTACACTACACAACTGGGTTGGACCAAAACCTCATGCTGGCAGATGAACCACTGGACATGGTAGACATCTTCGGTTACCTGGTTAGTTGTATTAGTTCCGCTGGACTGACTGGAGATTATTTCTCCATTTGGGAAAGCTTTGACAGTTTTTGACTGGATTCGACACCTATGAGACCGACGTGAGGTGGCTTTGTCTATTAAGGGCAGAGTTTACACTGCGGTGAGATGGCTCAGTGGTTAGAGTGCGAATTAGCTGATCGGGAGGTCTGCGGTTCGAACCAGACCTCTGCCTCTCAGCTTTCCCTTTCTAGGCTTTGAGACCCGGAGTTATGCCAGCCCTCGTGCTTCCTTCTGGTAGGATGTCAGCTAGGCACCGGAAGTGTACTGTAGCCGAACGACGACTTGACACTACGGTCGTGTGATCCATTCTACTTCATGGATCAGAGACGTGGTCTCTACGCGCAGAGGACGCACAAAAGATGTCAGTGTTTGACCATCGGTTTCTCAGAAGCTTTGTGGGATATGATGCGAACATTGGATTAGCAATGTCGATGTACGTCAGATGGCCTTAGGAAGAGGGTGAATTACTCACGCCTCATAGGTTACGCTGGTTAGTACATGTACTCCTCATGCCAGAAGACCTTTCGCCTCGCAGATCTCTTTTCACCCAGCCATGTGCTGACAGGAAACGACCGAGTGGTGGAAGATGTATGGCCGGTCAACAAGCTATGGAAACACCATTCAGTAAACGTAGTCGGGTTGGCAACTGCCGACTCCCTGGATGGGGACCCCGGGACTCAACTCACAAATAGTTAATGACACTGGCAGAAATGACCCAATCGCATCGTCAGTGGCACTCATGTATCAAAAGTATCGCCTTCCATGCACAACTTCTCAGTTCCCTAGCTAACCAAGTACGCCACCGCCTCCAAAGCTTGGCTGTATGTCCCACACACCACTTTCCGGTGACTGAATCTGCAGCAGCTGGAACCGTTGTGCTTATGGTACATGGTTGATTGCCGATATATTGATTGATTGATTGATTGATTGATTTTGGTACGTAATCGAGCGCCTAACGGTCTATCGTAGCACTGACCAGGTATCTTAGTGGACAAAGTGGAGCAGTGGCAGTGTTTTAGAACACGGGGAATTTAAGCTAGTTGATGGTAGCCTGTGCCGAAGTAAAGTCTGAACATTCTTGTTCCTATGGTGAATCGATACTACTCATTTGGTTCTGAGCAGCCAATACAACCTTCGTGTACTCTCTGTATTTTTGAATTGATGTAATTACTGAAGGGGAATAACTACCATAAACAACTGGTACATCTTCAGTTTTTTTACGACCGTTATCTCATAACCTTAGCTCATGTACGCTAGTCATGAGGCAACGAGGCAACTAGAAAACGAACATACTGTTGTGTCACGGGGCTTTCGTCGAAGAATGTGTTCAGCACCATAAGCCGCGATGGTTAGGCCATGTATTCCGCAAGCCGAACCATCGTCTGCCGAAGTGAGTACTGTTTTCCTTGCCTAGTTTAGAGTGGTGCAAGCTGAGAGGTGCTAACCTTTCACCTGGCAAAGAGGTATGAAAGATTACGAAAAGTCTGGGTGCTTTGGGTGCGACGGCGACCGCGTGAACCCCACAGTGCCTTGTTGCAGTCAGTGTAGATATGGCTGTTAGTCGATGTCGATGATTTTCTTGTCAGTTGCTATTCAGACTGCGTGAATGGGTGTCTGAATGTGTAAGCACCTTGGAATGATTGTAGCAGACTAGCGCCAAATCTTTTCTTCATTCAGTTTTATTCTTTCCTTCACAGGAAAACTCTCAAATAAACTGTGGTTATATGGAACCGAAGCATTAGTGCTGAACACCGATGAGCTCTAGATGACGATGGCTTCAAACAACTGTCATTTGGGCTCTGCTGCGCAAATAATCCCTTCCCCAAATAATTTAATACTACTTCCAAGAAGCAACTTGAATCACATATTTATGATCCTCATGTTTGGAACATGAATTTTCAACGCTTTGTTTTTAAATTCCCCGCCACCTTTATGATGGTGCTTTTAGGTGAACTGAAGCCCTTTGGACAAGCAGAAGGATTTAGAACGACCTGCGAAGCTTGTGCAAAGACACCGATTTCGTTGTCGGTCATTCATCCCACGACCCAGGGAGTAGTTTTGGCCTCGCGTAATTTTTTCGTGTACCTCTATCTGCACAATGCCAAAGAAATCTAGAGATGGAAAAAGGAATCTCGTTCTCCCTTTACTTGATACTAATGACCCCATCACCATTAATCCCTCCGAACTCGAGGATGAACTTCGTGACCTTATTGGGACCAGTGGAGCATGGGAAGAATGTGAGGTAAGTTAGTGGGACGCCATAGTCTTCAGACAGTCTTGTGATGCTGTTCGTTGTGTTATATTCACAGAGATGTCTCAGATCGGTGTTTCTTATACTGGCAAACATGTCATTTTAATGAAAGCCTGGGATACGGGTATGTGGAATACAAACTGTCGTGTACATAACACACTACCCTGTTGCGAGGTACTAGTGTCGAATGCAGCTATGAGTGGTAGAAATGAATTTTTCATGAAATTTTCCCGTATGCTTTCAGAATTTCGTGCCATAAAAATGATACATTTTGAAGCTTCACACGGTCTCACACTTTTTTATAAGACAACGGCGATCATTTACACCACTTCACGGAGAACCGCCGTTGCTTGTTTTCGGATGGTGCGTGGACTTCGAGGAAGGTGTTAAAAGCCTTATTTAGATATCTTAAAATGTGACTCTACTTAGAGCTCGACGACAGGGAAGTCTTGTCAAAATGCAAACTCTAATATGGGCGTTATTAGCCCCCCCCCCTGGGACGGGCTACTATGAACAAATATCACTTCGGTTGCAAACGTTTCATCACCAATCGAGGTGACATCATCAGTGCGTAGTTGTGCGTAGCGGTGGGTTAGTGGGTGGGTGGGCACAACCACTAACCCACCGCTACGCACAACTACGCACTGATGATGTCACCTCGATTGGTGATGAAACGTTTGCAACCAAATTGCCCAGCTCAGCGAACAAGCCAACGACCATCTACGCTACCTGAGCTACCGACATTCTCCTCTATTGAAATACCACTTCCTTGGATAGTTCAAAACAGGTATGTTTCATTGACTTATCTCCCGATTCCCTCAAGAGAGTCCAAGTGCACTGACTGCTCGGAGGATTGTTGCTACTAAAAAAGCAATCGTCCAGCGTTACTTCCCTTTTGGTGAACAAAGACCATAATAATCGCTTACCGTCGTGAAGACTATCGGATAAAGCAAACTGCTTGACCTGGTCGTTAACACTTCTGTTATAAAACTGAATCCGTAATCTCGAGGGGACGGGAGTTTGGGTAATCTTGTGTAGGGACTCAGGTGTGCATTATCTATACCTGGACCCTCATTCAAAGTGATTCCAAAACATGTGGTATGTTAAAAATTTGCCTTCGTTGAGGGGAGCAAGGGCGCGTCAAAACGTGTGGCGGTAGCCTACAAAGCACCTTCGCTTTGTCCTATTAATATCATTTGAAAAGTGCGGAAAAACCATTGTTACATATTTTAAATTGTTGCGGCAAAGTCCAGTAGATTTCTAACAGCGTGGTGATTGTTGGCGGCTGTTACTACCCACTGACAGTTGCTGGTCAAAGTTACGCCCAGCTAAAGCATGTTTGCATAGACATAACAAACTTGCAGTGTCACCATACACGCCTAAAGCTTATTTTCAGGTGTGATGAGGTTTCTTTTCCCTGAAATCTCAGGTTCGTTTTGACATTGACCTCGGGTGCACCAAAGCAACACCCGCTCAATTCTCCCAAGGGCCAGTTTGGACGCATCAGTAATAATCGTTCCCCCTCGGTTATGAACCTGTAGGGGCTAGACTTAACGGAGGTATGTGAGAAGTGGTGGAAGAACGAGTACTGATCCTGTTTTGCAACTCCACCTTCGTTTCAGGGTCATTAGGTAGACTGAATATTGTATCTCTAATTTTCTACAGCAGTGCTCTCGTACTTTACGGCGCAGTCTATATATTCTCGACCTATAATTCATCAAACTGTAAAATGTTAATTATCAATTTAACACGGCGAATGTTCGGAAGCTTAACAGCCACCATTTCATCCGTATTTGGATGAACTTTTTGTATTTGCTTATGTTGTGCAACTGAATACTTATTTGATGCTTAAATCGAGTGACTCCTAGTTACAAGCAACCTAGTTGCAAACTGGTTACAGCAACCGATCGGTTGACCGGCTGATCGACCTAAATTACCCGTTATGTGAGGGAATGCGGTTACCATCGGAGGACCTAACAAGCTTAAAGGAGCTCGGAAATGAACGGTAATAACTGCTTTGAAATCTTGTACTATATTTAATACAAGATTTCTAGGGTAAATGTATGTTAGTGTCAGTGATTCTGTCGGACGTATCGGGTTAATGAGGGCAGGCCTCGCTGAAGGTCAAAAGCATTTCCTTCAAACCTGTGGTCTCCAACATGGGACAGCTAGAACGATAAGAAGTTGTTTACTCCTCGACGTCACTGCTAAGCTTCTTGATGTGGGGACGAGACGACTGAGTGGTTAGAGGTGGAATTTACCTGACCGGAAGGTCCGTGGTTCGAACCCGACCTCTGCCTCTCAATTTCCCCTGTCTAGGCTTGGGCAACCTGGCATCATCCCACCCCTCGTGTTTCCTTCTGATGGCATGGCAAAGAGTGTTACAGCTGGATGATTTTTTATTTCGTGTAAAATGTTTGCTCTTGATGCATATGTTGTTAGTCGTTGGTTTGTCCGCGAAACATTCATGGCACCAGAGAATTCGAAAGCAGAGGTCAGCAATCGTTTAGAACCGCAGACACTGACTAACATGACAGCCTGTAACACCCTTCCGATGCCTAGCAGCCGTGCCACCTGAAGAAAACACAATGATCGGGATACTGCCAGGTTGCCCAATCCTAGACAGAGGAAGTCAAGAGGCATGAGGGAGACGGGAATGATAGCACACGCTAGCTATCATAATCATAGATCAATCCAAATCGTTTAGCGGTAGCACCCTGTCGGTGCCTAGCTGCCATGCCACCAGAAGAAAGCACGACGGCTGGGATTTTGCCAGGTTACCTAAGCCTAGACAGGCGAGATTGAGGGACAGAGGTCGGGTTCGAACCACGGACCCTCCGGTCAGTGAATTCGCGCTCTAAATACTGTGCCATCTCGCCCGATCAGTCTAAATGAGCAGGCTTATCAGCATCTGTGCGTCACTAGCCAACACCAAATCATGATGCAGTGATGAAGCCGCTCCTTATTGTAACGATACCTATGCAACCAAATTGTGCGGCGAACAGATCAACAGACGAATCACTGGCTAGAAAAACCACTAAGTAATCCAAATCACCGACTGTATCCTCTTCCAAAACCCGTTCTTTCGTACAGTAGTCAAATTTGTTTGAGGTCTGCTAGCTGTGAAACCACAGTGTTATCCTTTAGTGCAGTGATCTATCTACTAATTAAACGGTTAAATAAAATGCAGTTCCAACAAATTGGAACGCAACCTTAAGCTTATTCTCATCACTCAACCTTTTTTGTTCTATCACGTAATTACATTAACTATCCGATGCTTTTCAGAGTTCCGGGGAAGAGCCGGACGAAAATGACCCAAAACTTTTGGCCGAACTACACGAATTTCTATCTGGGAGCGAGTCTGTGACTAAAACGCCTTTGCCGGATGAATCGATTATTAATAAACGTACGCAATCACTGCATCCAGGGGTATCCCGAGACAAGGTTAGTTCACTAGCATAACAAGCCATCTCATTATTTTCGACTTCTTGCGACATTTAATTTCCACTTCTGAATGTCTTGCACTTTGCGATTTCGTTGCTCAAGTACAGTAATTAGGTGACTGGACCGCATAACTGTTTATTACCGTGAGTTTCACCATAAAATTTGGGTTTTATATTCAAGGGGCGTGCCTTTATTATATATATATATATATATATATATTATATGCCCATTGCTATTTTTCTTTCTAGGTTGGTGTTGAGGAGGACGTTGATCCAAAACTTTTGGCCGAACTTCAGGAATTCATATCTTCGGACGAACCTGTAACCAAAACGTCAATGACAGAAGGACGCACTCAGTCAGCGAACTCGGGTGTATCTCTGGATGAGGTTGCTACTAGAATTACGGGCTATCGTGCTGCGATTCAACAATTACAGTCCACTCAACCAATAGATGCTGCGAAAATCCGTCGTTACGAGCGCGTTTTGAAGCAGCTAGAGTCTATAGCCACGCGCATTTCTAATGGAGATGTGGTAAATGAAGATGAACTACCTGCCCCAGCACCACCGGTTGTGTCGCTGCCTTCTACATACCAGCCGGTCAGTTACATGGTGTTCTAGGTCATCACTTATTTTCCCTGCACGCCGACACATAACTGGTTTCCACTTTCACTCGCTGCCCAGTGGTGATAGGTTGCGAAACCAAGTTGCTATTCGCTCGGTATACAGTCTTTCCTCCCTCCCCGCCCTCCCCCACTCCGAGGATGGATACTCTTTGGCTGTTGAGAAGTGTTAACTTGTGGGGATGGATAGGCAACCTAATCGGCGTCCAAGGGAAACGTTGTTTCATCACTTGCGCCAGACCTACCTGGCGTAAGGTTCATGTCAATTATTACATGTTTGCTTAAGATTACAGCCACCTGAAGTCTCATTCGATCGAATTACTAGTATTTATTTGATGGGAGGGATTAGTCTTCCGCGTTTCTCTTCAGTAGCATCAGTCCCCGGGATTTTGCGTAACAGCAGTCTCTTGGTATTTTCGCTCGGATGCTTCAGATCAGAAAACTTGTGATGTATGACGACAACCTTGGTTGTTCGCACTGATATTTGTGAACTTCATTCAGTCACTAAGTTTGTGCATTCTATTGGTCGTACTTTCTGGAGTTTATGCTCGAAACAACCACCAAGTTCTGAAACGCCAATCTACTGGTTTTGCATACAGCTATACCAAATCATACTGTCCAACTACAGGGAAAATCCATTTTCGCTTATACTACACTAGACCCGTTTCAAACATCCTGCTAAGCTGCTACTACGCATCTCTCACTTTAGTCTGCTGCACCAGCTTCAGTGGTAGCCGCAGTTGAAAACCAGAACAAGCAGTCGTCTAACCAGCATTCCGAACCTCTGGCGGCATCCATTTCATCCGGCGCTCCGTTGCAAGCACTGAAAAATCGTTGCCAGGAGTACAAAGTGAGTTACCTAGTTTAGGAGCATCCTTGTGCTTGATAAGCTACTACGCCTCTGAAGTTACTCCCCAAGAGTACGTTAAAGTGTGTCTGCATTGCTTAGTTTCCTTGGTGCTTATCTATCTCTATGGTAGATGGGCATATTTGGGTGCTGATTTGAGTCGCTATCAGCCTGTAGAACATAACTTGTAAATTCCCTTTCGTTTTTACAGGTGGCAGCAATTAGAGCTCGTGATGCCGGGCGGATTCCAGAGGCAAAGAAGCTGTTAGGCGCCGTGAAGTTCATCGAGTCAATGGTACCGAAAATAGAATCAGGCGAGGAGCGGTTTGATCCGGACTCCGATATGCCTCCCACTCCGGAGGAATTTTTGGCTGTACCTGACGATGAATCGGATGACATTACTCCTAGCTCTGCGCCGCACGCTCCCAATACTCAGCAGTCCCAACTTCCACGCGCAGTGTTATCATCGACGGTCACATCGGAAAATCTACACATGCGTCTCAATTACTTTAAGGTAGTCTGGATAATTATCCCAAGATCTATTTTCCCTTTTTGAGTGGGTGCCAGTTCACTCCACCACTTTCCCTACTGGTGCATATATTTTTGTTCTGGACTTGTAGACGTATGTCAATTCATCGGATTCCAAAGATCTCTAATCTAAAAGATATCCAGTATTTTTTTATAGCTAGCTTGGTGGAAAGTTTGAAAATTCGTCCTCAGAGCACTGCTAGTACAAATCCGTTCAGGACTTATCAAGTAGACACGGTTCCAGCACCCGGGTCAGTCTGCTTTCTCATTTAGGCACCGTTTTGTACCGCGCATTCATTGCAACTGTGGTTATCTGACTGTTCTAGATGTGACGCTCATCTTGTATACTGACGTACATCATCTCGTTATCCGCATCTCATATGATCCGCAGCGCAACTCGGAGCGGAGTTTATTTCCTTAGCAGTGTTAGCGTATATTTCCGAGCAGTTACTTTTTCACATCAGTATACTGTACACGTCTGAATGAATTTCTCACTTCCACATGAAGCCAATATTCTCTCCTCCCATAGTATTTATTAGAAAAAAACTTCGACACCTTGAATGTCTTACAGCACCATGTCAGAGTTTGTATTTTGTATTTAGGTTTGAAAAAATCAGAACCTAGAACGAATTAGGGTTTGTTACGTTCCGCATTTATGCCGAACCTGCTGGCTATCCCTTACCTGTGAATGGGTATATTGACTCTGTTTTATCAAATACATGCTCAGCTCACTAGCTCTCATTGATCGTTTTTATCATCTCGCCTGTCCTACTTCCAAATGAACAAAAACTGGATTTTCTCAAGCGCGTTGTTTACGTCGTTCCGCTGCTTAGCTGCAAGCCCATTGAATAGAACTAATAGGAATACACCATTTGTAAAATTAAATTAGTGTTAATGGGAGACTCAACCAAATTCCAGGTGAATCTCTCGTTTATGATATTATCTAACAGCGCTTCGATCCAGTTGAGTCTCCGGTTGTTAGGCGGAATTCCACACCGATACCGCTTTACTGTTCGCGGTTAGGCGCTGCTACATCCGGGAAGCCTACCCCGCACACGATTGGCGAAAAGTTCGGACCGGTTGCCCAGCGGGCTCTGATTAGTCGGAAGTTTGGACCCAACAGTCAATAATGACCCAGTATTCGCCGAATGCTGATACCATTGGCGCATCTAGGTGTCAGAATTTCCAGAATGTTGTCGTGACATAACTTTCACATACGACGCTCCGTACAAGTTTTTCTGATNTTTGGACCCAACAGTCAATAATGACCCAGTATTCGCCGAATGCTGATACCATTGGCGCATCTAGGTGTCAGAATTTCCAGAATGTTGTCGTGACATAACTTTCACATACGACGCTCTGTACAAGTGTTTCTGATCTGCTTTGGGACGATAATATGCGTTGTGTATCCTTGGTGGTTGTATTGGACGGGAAAGTGTGGGAGTCTCAGATCGAGAACTAAGCTGAGGAAAATACCGCTGTTACACCCGTCAAATTCAATAAATGTGCAAATGAGCGTACTTCGCGAATGGGGTACAGGTCGGATACACGTAGAGCATAAGTGAACGAGAACTCGGTGTCTGGGCCTTCCCGATGTGCCCCAAGAAGGACCGAATCGGCTATGGAAGGGTTTTTGGCAATACACTACTCAAAACCAAATTGGTATGCAAATGAGTGTATTTTTCTAGTTTCGGCAATCCTTCCTAAAGAACGACTGGAGTTTCAGTTGAAATAGGTTTAAAAAAGAATCATTCGTTCTTATCTTTTGTTGAAACATATGCGTTCAAGGCACCGTAATCTGCTTTCACATACGACGCTCTGTACAAGTGTTTCTGATCTGCTTTGGGACGATAATATGCGTTGTGTATCCTTGGTGGTTGTATTGGACGGGAAAGTGTGGGAGTCTCAGATCGAGAACTAAGCTGAGGAAAATACCGCTGTTACACCCGTCAAATTCAATAAATGTGCAAATGAGCGTACTTCGCGAATGGGGTACAGGTCGGATACACGTAGAGCATAAGTGAACGAGAACTCGGTGTCTGGGCCTTCCCAATGTGCCCCAAGAAGGACCGAATCGGCTATGGAAGGGTTTTTGGCAATACACTACTCAAAACCAAATTGGTATGCAAATGAGTGTATTTTTCTAGTTTTCGGCAATCTTCCTAAAGAACGACTGGAGTTTCAGTTGAAATAGGTTTAAAAAAGAATCATTCGTTCTTATCTTTTGTTGAAACATATGCGTTCAAGGCACCGTAATCTGCATTTCAGAACCAGTTAGAAGAATCAAAGTCTAATCCTTCGGATACCAGCAGGACACGGCGCTTCATGCGCATCATAACCCAGTACGAACAGGCTCTGCGTGCGTTCGATCATGGGCTTCCTAACTACGCGTATGCTGATTTGCCTCCACCACCCAACTGCCCAGTGCTTTCAAATTCTGCTACTCCACAACGAACTTTGGGTGATGCTTCCAATCCTAAGTCGCATGTCGGGCAGAGAAGCGCGGAGATGTCGAAGAATGAGCGAATAGTGGCGTTACTGAAAAAGCGTCAAGTAGAATTGAAGTCTGCTGCACTGAAAGCCAAGGAAGCAGGAAACATAGAGCTAGCCAAGACTCATCTACGTGCTGCCTGCCGTATCGATCCTATGATCTCTTCCGCTGAGGCAGGTATTCCGTTCGACATCTCAAGTCTACCACCTCCGCCCAAACCCTTGACCGTTGCACCGAGAACTCAAGCGACAATGTTTAGCGGTCCTATCCTGTCTGGAATCACTTGTGAACCCCCAGATGTATTCAGATTGGAACTCAAAGCAATGCACAGTATGTTCTGGAGCTTTTTATTTCTGTATATCCGTGTATGCCGTGTATCTACACGGCATCCACATCATTTATCGAAGATAACTAGGTGCCTTTCCGAACGGATTTCGTGTCCTTTTTTCACTGCTATTTCCCGGGTTCTCTGTTTTTTAATCTCATATCTTTTAATTTTCATTATTTTCATCTGGTGCTTTCATTGATGTATTTCTGCAAGTATTCCCACTGAGCTAAGTGTGGCACTGCTAACTTATTCTCGGTGACCTTGTGCCGGAACATTCACCAACCTCCCCTGAATCGTACATTATGTACCACTGGTGCACTATGATGACCTTCGCCCTCAGGTGACCAATCATCAGGACAGTTACACATCGGTACCTGAGGGCTTATTTCAACATCATTTATTCACATCCTACTATCTTGGTGTGATTATTCTGAATAGTGCAGAACCTAGCAGAAAAGTCGTCAGCGGTGTAGATTTTTGGTCCTGCCGGAATGCGAACTACTAACATTTGAATTGCAAAACGAGACTACCCCACCAAAGCTAGCCTCACGCACCGGAGTTGTCCCGTCCACACAGGAAGACGCTTGAGCGGTGTGTGTGACGAGCCCAACGTCCCGAACTATGACCATTAATCAGTTTACAGCATGTGAGCGTGAACGAGTCTTCATTCATCCGCCAAGCAGTCATAACAACACCATATGCGCTGCGAAAACCAGATTGAAGTAAACTTGTCAACCTTGTTTAGGCATGCTTTCTGACATCAGATATATCCCGTATGCATCCAAAGACCATACGTCCTACACGGGGCTCAGCAGAATTGGTCTTTTTATGTGAAGCAACATGTTTCCCTATACCATGCTATGTGCTGCGTATGATTACTCCTCGGCACCTACTATTACTTACTACAAAGAAGGCTACCTTAAGACGACCGCGAAGTTGAAACGGGTACAGATTCAACTATCGCTCTCAGCTCTGATGCTATGAAGTCTACTCAACTAAATTCATCACCATTATCATCAGCAACAAAATATCTAAATTTGGGGAATGAAATAATACTCCCAAGTGTCGTGTCAGAACAACTCGATAAAAGCATCACATTCTGGTGGTCCAGCTCCGTTGGTACTTTACTGATAAATGTCACTTAAAATGAGCAATGCCTGAGTAAAATGACTATAGTCAGTGAGTTCTGCAGCTTATGTAGCCTACATGTATTTGCTATATATCCCCGAGTTACGCTTTTGTTGAGCTCCTTTATGTTATTATTTATTTTCCAGTTTCTTCTTGTGACATTCTTACATGTGCAGTCACTCAGTTTGTTTCATCCGCTCCATTCTACCTTCATAGGCCAAGAAGAGAGAAACAGGTGTGTGCTGCAGCTGCTTGAGAAACAGGCTAAAGAAGCCAGTGAGCGAGCACTCCAATTTGAACAGGCTGGACTGCACGAAATCGCCGCCAAAATGTCTGAATTATTTCGGATTGGTGAAATTAGTGTGCGTTCCTTCCGTTCCCGAATGCTTTCCAGGTCCTCCCCGTCTTATGTGTTCGAGAAAGCTAATATCCCACAACTGAATATGAACCAAGATTTGGGGGATGATGTGTTGGAAGTGACGGTGGTACGTGGTTTCACCTATCCTCTGCCGTCTGACATTTCATCAGTCGATAAACTTGACACGCAGGTGGAGTTGCAGCTTCCCGCGCCCTCAGTGGACACTCCGCAAAAGCACTTGACCAGCTGGCATAAACACTCTGCGGACCCTGTATACGACTCTGTTGCGAGATTTCAAGTGGATACGAAGGCACGCAGTTTTAACTTACTGCTCAAAAGAAAGCTGAAGGCAACGGTATGGAATAAAATTTCTATCTCATCAGTGTCATATGACCGCTTTTCTGTTTGTGTGATTTTTTCAGCAGCTGGAACAATTTCATTCCATATCATCATCATCATCATCAACGACAGCATGACATCAGTGCTCAACACCAATGCTTCACTGCCGTACAGCCATGACTTATTTGAAAGCCTTATTGTAAAGAAAAGAATAAAGGTGGATGGGGGAGGGACTTAGTGCTAGCTTAACACAATCATTCCGAGGTGCCTACACCTCCAGACATTCACTCAGGCAATCTGGACAGAAACTGACAACAAGAACGCCACTGACATCGGTTGGCAGCCATATCTTGTAGTGTATCCAACCAGGCACAGTGAGGATCACGCGGTCCCCATCCATATACGGTGGTGGTTAGGTGTTTTTTCGCTACATGTCAGTTTCTGTTGCATTTCAGGCAGTAATCCTACAACGCATCCGTATAAACCCTATGTGATTCTTTGCTGAGGCAAACTCACTCGGTCTAATGCAGTGAATTGAGCCTACATGTTTGGATATCTATTCGGTTCATTTATAAACCGCACACTAAGAATGCGTTGTTTAAGATGCTATTCTTTCGTTTAACCAGGTTAGCGTGAGTGAGATACGATTACCGGTGCTCTCTGCAAGACCTTCTTAAAGGAAACAACAAATTTAATGTGCCTACATTTCTGAACTTATGGCCACAAAGGATTTTCGGGTGATCTATCTTCTCTTCAAAGTCGAAACGGTGTACAATCATCTCTGCTAAAAACTGAAGCATGCGATACCTTGAACATCTGGATTGCTCAATGTACTCTGTTTTTAGATTTTCATAAATGTGCCGTACTGATTCATTGTCTTACTCATTATGCAGCTACAAACAAGCACACCACCACGTGCTTATGGTGGTCCAAACAGGTTCAGTTTCGTTCAACCGTGCATTGAAAACATTGCCCTGAGGAGTTCTCTAACACTGATTACTTTAGCTTTTCTCGTGAATTGTAGATTTTAGTGTCTGTATGGAAACTGGGAATCTCCATGGCTTGAATGCGTGCTTGGGTTCTTTCTTTCGCCTCTACACTTAACAGCTACCAACGCGACTGGGTTTGCTGGTCAGCCGAAATTCAGCTTCCCATTCTGAACAGATCGCTCGAAGGAAACGACTAAAAGCAGTCTCGTCTGAGAAGAAGTCAATAAAGTTGGGAGGATTATCTGTGCATAGACAAACCCGGATACCACTCTTTGGTGAATCTTCCATCCTGAACCTTTTGCAGCTTCTACTGCACTTAAACTACAAGTTAAAGGTTCGTTCCAGAGACAAATAGTTGCATCGTATCGATCAGTACAACTCACTGGAAACTATTCATTTAGGCGAAATTGAGCATGGTCGACCATTGCAGCTGTTGCGTACCAGGTTACATGAGTGATTCTCGCACTGTAACGAAAAAGTATACGAAACCACATGTATGCGAAGATGTTACTTCAGTTGATGCTGATAACTATCCACAAATCTGGGCTAAATCAGCTTGTCGAGTCCGGTCAGCAACTTATTTACCCGTGTCATCACGGGAGTTCCTATTTGGTATCCGTTACCCAAGAAATGTGAAGGATTCAGCTCTCGCTATTCCTAAGACGAGCCGAGTGGATGAGTTGCTTATTTCAGCGAGGTTTTCGGTCATAGTATACCTCAATAAATGATCTTAGTCAGAGCAGAATGGCGTTCTATTCAGGGTCCGTAAGAGCCCAGCCAAAAGTGATTGATTGTCAGTCTACGGCGATTTACGTGGCTACCAAGGCAACAAGGCTAGGTAGACTAATAAGATTGAACTGAATTTTTGAGTTATCCGGTTCGCGAATAGCAAAAGCAGTGGTGTTGTTCAGCTACCCGTGGTTATGTGAATATATAATAAATGATCCTTAGCCGGGAAGAGATATAGATTGATTTTCATGGATTCAACCCTTTCGGAAATCAAACATTCAATGCAGGCTAATAACAACGAGCACATTCCCCACTATGGCTACTAGAGCGACACCAGAGATTTTGCATCTGGTTCTCATATACCATGTGAAGAGTACATTTGCATCTGGCCTGTTTCCACCGGTATTCATCTCTACTGCATGTGGTTCGTAGTGGGCTCTCATAGTGCTCCGTGACACAGGGACCAGGACGTTGCGTTCGAAGCTTGCTGACTCTTCAATTTAGGCAACCATCAACTGAAAGAAGTCTTAACTATATCGTTTGTAAACAGACATGAACAGAGAACCGTTTCTTTTACTGAACTCCCGATTTTAGCTTTGCCAGAGAATTTCGAGATAATCGGTAGCTCACTCTTTGAGCTTAGATTTTTTTCTATCAACACACCAACAGCTATCTATGCCTCGAGCTTCCCAGACCGTTCTCACTGAGAAACCATGAAAATCATTTGTTCGCTCGGAAATAACCTTGACAGATGCTGTTCAGTCTGAACTCAAAATACCTTAGTTTTCAAGGGGTGAACTTCCTTCCTGGAAGGTCCCGTAATTCGAACCCAACCCTTTTATTTCAACTGCTGTTGTCTAGGCTTGGGCGACCTGAGAGTATCTCGGCCGTCGCACGTCCCTCTGTCATGAGAGTTGAGAGTTACATTGAGTAAGTCTTCCATGTCTCAGCGAACGTAGGGCTCCGTCCGTTGACGTTTCGTTGCACCACTTCTTCACTGTTAGCCAAAGTCATACTTTACACGAGTAGCGAATTTGACAGCTTGAGGAGCCTTTTACACGGATCTCTGCTGATGAAACTTGCAATTTCGTTTTGCGTTCAGTAAATCTACCGACTGTCTGTGCGCTTCAATTGAATTAAGGTGAAGTCACCTTGGAGTTCAGTTTTGTATTGGGTTGTGGTTGTAAGTATGCTTTAAGTATGCTTTCTCTTGACTTTTATTTCAGATCTATTACAGTCGTGGGCTACTTCGGAGTGCACGCGTTTTGGGTATGGCCCAGTTTTCCCTTGAAGAGCTTGCTACATCAGCAACTGTTACACAAACTGCCTCTTTGATGGACGGACGCAAAGCAGTCGGTGGCGGCTTGGAGCTACGGTTAAGGCAGCGCTCTTGTGGTGCCGTAAGTTCCTATCATCATAGATAACTTAGTGTTCACCACTTTTCCGGTCCGACCAACTCGCTTCTAACCTGTAGCCACATACTCGTTACTTCTGCCTTGATATCATACAATCTGTTAACCTAGCATGTACCAGCACTAGTTATGATAAAGTGAGTAATCTTCAAAGGAGAAAGTGCCTCAGTTATGTCCATTGATTGATTACAATGTGCCTACTCGTTCTGCGTAATCGTTGTCCATCTTGCTTCACTCTGACCTGAAGAACAAATACAGGCAACACTCACGAGGTTGCTTAAAATTCCTCGACAGCCCACGACTGTTTTCACCCTACATGAGGTTCATTAGGTGGATGCAGTCTGTGAGGTTTTGTCGGCCTTTTCTTATACCCGAAGTCAAATTGCACGAAGTTCGACAAAGACACTCATTCGCTTACCAGTTTGGTTTTCATGGGGGTAAGGGGGTGGGGGGAGGGAAAGTTCAAATAAACATGATAACCGAGGTCCTAGGGCGGCATGTTGTCCTTCAACATCAAATCACCATTTGTTACCGGTGACGCGGACCAACTACTGCCAGTTTCGAGCCATGTGCTCGTTTGGTGTTACTTTTCCCTTTGTTTTCCAGGCTAGCAGATACGGATTTAGAATCGCTTCTGGGGTCGCATCCAACTGCAAATGAATTTATGCTGGAATGAGGTCCCCATATTCTTGCATAGTGCCGGGAGTTTTGCCTGTGGCACGGTGCTACCACGTCTGCTCAAGCACTGGACATCAGACAGAACAGTGACACTGCTTAAGTTTCGAAGCAATGTCTCCGCTGTTCCCTAACCTAACTTGGTCCGGCTAATTATCGGGCGCCAAATTAAACACCGTGCTCGCCGACCGTGATGCCTGGTGAACACGGAAAGCTAGGGAAATGGATGAGACCGCAAAATTAGGGATACTCGGAGGTTATTCCAGTTGACCTGTGCGACCGGTCCCCGGAAACCGTCTGCCAGCAAAAACATCAATGATCAAAGTGGCGCGACCACCATCAATAAAGAAGGAACCTTGACCACTTGATTGAACACTTTATACAAAAATTTTCGTGGTCACCTGCTGCCAACCGTGTAGCTCCTACACCTGGACTGTGGACATGGAACCCCTATGGCTTCGGAGTGTATATGAATTCATATGTTCTCCACGGAGCTCCTGATCCGGATGACCCCCCACCCGCATTATTCGAAGATAGGGGTGAAGCCCTCTGTCAGCGCTTGTCTGATCTGCTCGCCCTCATCTAGGAAAAGAAGACTGTCCCAGACGGTTGGGGAGAACCAGTGGTAGTGGTCATTTTCAAAAAGGGGCTCGTGGTGAGTGTAGTAATCACAGGGGGTCGTTTTGACTCCTGTCGTAACGAGACGGTTGCTGTCACTTGTACCTTATGGTGGTTCGTGAGACGCTGATTCGAGAGCAGCAAGCGGGATTTCGGCCTGGCAGAGGTTGTGTTGACTAACTGCACTCAACCAGACACTACCACGAACCCATTCATATAAACGACCCACAATATTGGTTCCCTGGATTTCCAAGGCTCACTCGACTAAGTAACTTGCCCAGATATAAATACCCCGTATGTGTGTTGTCGGAATTCCGGTAGTCTCTAGGTAGAGGGAAAGCCCTCCAAAAGCTTCCGTACGCAAAGTGCCGTCCGACACGGATGCCTACTGTTTAATTTCGTGATCGACGGATAGTGAGACGAACGCCGAAAGGTCTTCAAAACTCTGGTTTTCAAACAACTACTGACGAAAACCTTGTCGGTTTGGAATATGCGGACATCATTCTAGTCTTCGAAGAGTACGCAAGTGTTTTCGGATGAACCGACCAAAATCCTCCCGTTCTTTAGTATGCGCTTTATCCACAAAGTGCTCCTGAACATACTCTCGCCGAACATACTATTTACAATCTGGAGAGGGGCAGTTGAAGAGTGCTTTACGTATCCCGGACGTCGTATTATTCCTGATCGTCACGTGGCACATCAGGCAATTCACGAATCTATAAGGCTCGCGACACTTTTTGCTAATTTGAAACATCTATGGCTGCAAAGCGGTATGTCTCCGATTCTCGAAGGACTTGTGTATCAGGAACTCTTTCGCTGAGTCTGTGAGATGTGTTCTCTACGAGCACCAGAGCTGAGGCATTTTTAGTTTTTCAATGACCCGTCAATTAGAAAACGATTTGCGGTTGTGCGACATAACTTTTGTCGAAGAATGTGTCCAGCACCGTATGCCGCGATGGTTAAGCCACGTATTGCATATGCCGAATCATCGTTCACCGAAGTAAGTGCTGTTTTCTGCGCCCAATTCAGAGTGCTGCAAGCAGGCAGGTGGCCTACCTTTGACCTGGCAGAGGGGGTGCTCTGGATGCGACCCACGTTCGAAGACGGGGACCCCGTGAACCCCACAGTGCCTTGTTGCAGTCGGTGCGAGATATGGCTGCTAGTCGATGTCGATGATGTTCTTGTTGTTAGTTTCAATGTAGATTGCGTGAATGGGTGTCTGAATGTGTAAGCAGCTTGGAATAACTGTGGTAGACGTGCGCGAACTTCCTTACCCATTCAATTTTATCCTTTCCTTCACAGTAAGGCTTTCAAATAAACTGTGATTGTACGACAACAATGCTTGAGTGCTTGAACACTGATTTTATGCTGCCCGTGTTGATGTCGGCGTTGATAGAGACTGATGCAAAAAGTTACGAACAACCGCATGCGGCCAGCGTCCGCGTTTCTTTACATTTGCAAATTAGATTTTGTTTTTTCTTAAAGCATGCTGTCAGTTTGAATATCACGGCTCCTACTTTCGCCCAATCATTTCATCCAGTTGGTGCGAGAAATCAACGTGCTGCGTTGAAGTGGTTCTCTTTTCAATAAACGAACCTTGCCCTTGTGGGGCAAATTAAACGAATACCTTCCATCTCCTGCCGTAGCTGTTGTTATTCCTCGCTGGCTTTTCTTAACTTCTCTCATTAATATGAATTTTGCCAACACGTCGTGTGCCTGTCGTCGTGAACAGCAGCCAGGCCAGATTAAATCAGATCAAATGTTTTGCTCAGTTAAAATACACTTCTGTTGATCACATCGGTTGGCCCACATGATTTTCGCTGACTACAATGACAACTACAGCGGGCAGTTTGCAACAACAGGAAGTTGTATTTTGGTCGTCCCAGCCGTTCTAGCAGGACTCAGTCATCAAGACATCCAACGATTGCTTGCATATGGTGTAAAGCCGTTCAAGCCCTGTGAATACCAGCAGCTGCACGTAAAGTGCTCCGTTCCTATGCTTAGAGTAAAAACATTTGAGAGGGAATTCTGCCCAATTATTCCCCCATGAAAGCCTTACTATTTGAATTTCTGTATGTAGAAAAGACCGGCCGAGCTAAGCCTAATGATAAATAAAACTAGTTCTGTGTCATCCTGCTAACTTTTACCCAACTAGATACAGTAACTGAAGAAAACTCATGATATCCCAGCTCAAAATTTGTGATTTCGGTTAATTGACAAGATGATGCTAGTTTTCTTGGTTGCATGCCCGACGAATGCTGGTAACTTCATTACGTTTTCACAATGTTATCTGTGGCCTTTAGAGTCTTTTGGCGCACAGATCATTTCACTTACCGGTATAGCTCCAAGCCGAACCAAAAGCGTACAATTCGTGTGACTTTGTCTTAATATTCCTCCATGATTCCTCCGGTTTCATACATAAGGGCCCAAGGATGACCTCCGTGGAAAAGCCGTGGCTTGTGCTGCAGTTCACATCGACATCTCGATTGCCGCAGTCCGCTCCCCATACCCGATTGTCTCCGACAACCGCTGATCGGGTCCTACCTTCCCAACACGATCCATCGTCCTCTCCGGAGTGCCATCCTATGAACAAATCAGTGAGTGCATCGCAGTCTAGATTTTCTACCGCCTCAGTTGTCACTATGGTTGATATGTGCACAGAAAGTTGTTGTCATTGAGTCTACATATCTCGCTGTTCGTCATCCGAGTGATTTCTGTGTGAGATCTTATCTGTTTTGCACCTAGTGCATGCGTTCTTCTGTCTTTCTCAATTTCCGTTTACTAAGCGTCCTCCATACAATTGCTCTACTTAATGGGCCTGAACGTACTGTTCTCCGAGGAATCTGGTTTTACTGATCGATTCAGTTGAGGACACATAAGCTTGCGAATGACTCTGTAAGCCCGTTGAAGATTCTTCGCAAACTCGCCAGAACTTATTGCTTGGAAGCGTATGGTGTACAATTGATTATCTCATCTGTCCAGTAACAATCATGGGAATTAATTGTGTACTGGCACTGGGTTTTAGATCCATGATAGGTCTCCTACAAACGGTGCACAGCGCTGTAGTATGGTAAACCGCACTCTCAAAAAGACTTTGCCTGTTATGCATGGAATACTTAGATTTTTGCTAATGAATTGACGACTGCCGCTCGACTCCCCCTGTCTAGGCTTGGGCAACCTGGTAGTATCCCCGCCTTTGTGCTTCCCTCGAGTGGCATGACAGTTAGGCACCGAAAGGGTGTTACGGCTGAACAATGAATTAAAGCTTCGTTTTAAATGAAGTCTGGCGGCAAGCGGATAGTGATAATTTGTGCGAAGATTACAGCCGCCAGTATCCTTGCACTGTTTCGGCCCTAATCCGTGACATTAAACAATCCCGTTTAGTCAGTGTGTGTGGTATAATGAAACTGATAAATAGTTAGACGAGCCGACGGCTACAGCCAAGTTTGCTGACCTCCAGGACCCATCCTTTAATCTGACATCTTGTTCATCTTCCCAAGGCCAGTGCTTTTTAAGCCGTATTTTATGTGTGTACACGCATTTGAATCTGTCTGATACTTACTTACTTACTCATTTAGTGTAATTATAACACTACTTACTCCGTATTTTAACCCTGAATTGACCTTAAAAGAGGTGTACTCATGCAGTCGATTCACTGTGTTACCTTAATGTGCAGCATTTTTGGACATCCCTAGACTTTCCTAATTTCAGTTGTTGACAGTTTACGTTTACATGGTGAGATGTCAGTTTTCCACCCCTTTTTCTGCTAGCTCACCTACGAGCTTCACAATAGATTTGAAGGTGACATTTACTTAACATTAATTTCAGCAACCTGATCGGACATCATGACTTTCTTTCAACATCTCTCCGTCTGGCACTAACGTCATTGGAGTCCCTGTGTGTCAGCTTGGAGCACATTACTGCTCCTATTGTCCAATGAGGACTCTTGTTGACCCTGGTGATTTGTGTCATTGGCTCTTCCGGTCACTGGTGGTGTGCCATTCATGTATCAAGGACACAATTTCTTTGACCAACTGGAGGCAATCGGCTCCGTCAAGTGTACGAAAATTCCATCGTATATTTTTTTATTATTTTGTTTGTTTACTTGATCTGTCAGACGATGACTTACAATCCTGATCATTTTCTTAACACAAACTAACCATCTGTGAGCTACACTGTGCTGACGGTTCGTTTGTTATTCATGCAGTTTATCACAGAGGACTGATTTGCTTATGACACACTAACCGACTACCGAGTAAATATGCGAAAATATCTGTTCTGCAAAACTTTTCTATTCTAACTCGTATATTGTTGTGTAATGCGTACTCAACTAACGGGAAACCAGACTAACGTATATGTAAGTCATAGAAGCTTGCAAGTCGATGATAAGTGAAATGAATCCATGTACAAGTTGATGACTTTATTTCCAACCTCCCAGTACTGTCACTTTTACAGAGTAGATACCTTAATAACGGGTAATTCATGGTAAACGCTGATTTTACTGTAGTGCTCGCAGCGCCGTCGGTTATTTTCAGGTTTCTGTCCCCTCTTAATCTGAAGTGAGTTTGCCCAAGCTTGTAATTACTGTTTACATACGAACAAATGATCAATCCCTGGGATGGGGAAAGTGGACATTCACTTGGCTTGCTACGGCACTGACCTCAGGGGAAAAGAGCCTCCATCAGCTATCCACCATGATGGTCGTCTGCTGCTTTCAGTAGTAATGACCGGAGGAGTTATTCAGCAACGCTGGCTGGAAAGCTTATGGCGGATTGACACATAACTTCAAGTAAATGACCATTGCCTTTCAACTGCCACCAGTGTTGTTATTTCATTCTTGTCTACCCCTAACCTGTGGTATGTGCAATACAAGCCGACATACACCATGCTACTCGAAATCTATTCTAGACAGTTGGTAACCTTGATCATGAAAACCAGAGTCAGGGTATCCTACAACAAACCGACCCAGCTTCCGGTCAGTTATATTCGTGGTCTCAATCATTGAATGGGACCAACAACTTCATCTGACCTCGTCAAAGACGTGTTGCTGTCCGTCGAGGTTCGACCGGTCAGTCTATCCGGCCTGTTGTGTTTAAACATCAGTTCTCTTGCGTGTGCACACATGATGAACTACATGTGGTCGGCATGGGCAAGATAGTCACACAGAAAACTTGAGGGACCGGGCGATCAACACGAACAATCAGGGACACCAAAAGTGTCGGGATGAGGGTCGCATTCTTCACCATCACTTACTTTTCTTCAATGAATACCTCGTTCCTCGTATAATGGTGGCGTGTTTACTCTTGCAGAGTGAAGCGGCTTTTTTCCGTATAGTTCTCGAATTTTTCTCCTCTACGGATATTCCAACAGAAAACAATTAGTCATCGATTTTAAGATTTCATTTCGTGTTGTGCTGCTAATCACGATATTTGTCAACGAGCTCGGTTACTGATTTATGTTGCTCAATGTTTGCAAATTAGGTGCGCCTGTACCTGATTTGTACAGCATGCGGAAGCTTGGTGCTTGGATCTCTAGAGAACTTTAAGGTGTCACTGGGAAGTACTGTATCCTAACTTTGCTTGTAAGGTCAGTGCGCAAGCCGCCTAACCAGTGACATTACAGCTTCATCCGCTCGATTTGAAAGGGCGTTTGGTTCAGTATGTTTCTCTTGGAAAATTAACACCCTTAGGTGAACCTATTACTTTCCCGGGCTTCACCCTTTAATCGCATCTGGTTTGTGGCGAACAGCGAGACTCGTGCGTAATTTCGTAAAAGTCCATCGTAATCTTGACACCAGTGCCAGGCAAACGGAATTTAGTTTGGGACTGAATAGTTGCTCACTATGGCGCTTTGGATCTCTATTCGTTTGTTTCCCACTAACACGGTCCTACTCCGTAAACGACTAATTAAATGCACATAGTCCAGCTTACAGTTCAAGTAGAAATCAGGTCAATCGACATTACGTCAACACAACCAAAAGCAATGAATAGAAGGGCACCTGTCACTTCAAAAGGCAACGAAATCTCCGATTTTTCCAATAAAATCCAAGTTATCCAAGAAAATAGATCACAGATGAATGAGATTACTCCCAAACGATGTAAAACCATGATATAGCCCTCGTGTGTTCTTTGACTGACAGCGCTCTTGTATACCGTTAGTTGTGGACGTGATACTGTGTTGTGCCGACCGGCCCAGTTGTTCACCCTGTTCTACGTAGGAAGATGAGCTGATGATATTCGGGGAATCGCTGTAGGCGCATGAGCACGCTTGAGTCATACGTAGGCCATACGTGCGGCTCCGGGGGTGTGGCGGGAACATCGACTGGACTACTGTTATGTGCGTGCATTGTTCAACCGGTTATTCTCGACGCCTGTTGTCTTTCCATCCTCTGAGAGTTAAGACGATAATTCAGAAATTGTTCAAAAGGCGTCCTGTAGTGCTGACACGCGTCCTGACCACATGACTGCTATCTATAGCATGTAATAGAAAATTATCGGCAAACAAATAAATAGATGAGGTTGATGAAAACGAGTTCTGCGTGCCTCAGAAGTCAAATGAATCGGACCATAAACCAATATTACGTTATTTAACGTTTCGAGTATGGATCATCCACCCGCGCTTAACTTTTGATATTCCTCGCAATCGAGCGCAGTTACTGTAGTGAGTAGGCTGTTCGTCAGTTCTGTTGCGAAGTTGTTCGCCCTACTGTGGAAGGGTAGGTGCAATGGAATATGCCAAATTGTGGTTTTTGGTCATTTCTCATTCGGCATGAAGAGTAAAGTTGCGTGGGACCTGTTTGCTGGCCGATTCAACAGTCGTGAACACTAGGTAGGCTACCGGATGAACCAGTTTTTTTCCCCTATGGATTTGTCCCGGCTGTATTCGAAGTGAAGTACCATTTGACGGAAACATCTTATTACTAACTGTTGTGTCTTCGCTTTATTTTTCTTCATTGCAGTTTGATTCAACAAGACAACCTACACGTGATGGTGGTGGTCTTCGCACTGTTGATGGTCGTGTGCGATCCAAAACGCCTGTTAGTATAGAAGTGCTGAAACGTGACCAGAAATACTTTGCAGAACATTTACATGGCCCAGATGGTATGCAAAACAAAAGTAAACTGGAATCAGTTACCAAAAAGCTAAAGGAATTAGAGCACCGTTTTTCGGGTGCAGATGCTGCATACCAAAAGAAGATCTATGTAGAACAATTGAAGGAACTGTATGACCTGATCCATGCAAAACTGACAGATGCTGTAAGGCGGGAAGACCAAGTAGAAATTTTAAAATATAGTGAACGCCTAAAATTAGTGAAGCAGGAAATTTACAGCTTTCGGTCTTCAACTGGACAAAAGCCAGAAAACAGTTATCACCCGGTGTATCGGACCAACGCTACACCAGTGCACGAGGTTAGTCAAAATCAGTCGGCAAGCGATCCACAACTTGCTATCGACCGTAAAAACCGAAATAACATTCACGCTGTTCCAAGTCCACATTACCCAGGCACTTCTCGACGCTGAAGAACATGTGAACACAACTTCGTCTTTCATTTATGACGCTCATCACTCTTCTATATTGTTGATGACATTTGTGCTGCTACGGCTTAGAATGTCGCTCCTTACGTGGCTAGTTGAACGTTTTTGTTTCCGGCTCTGTTTCTTTCTCATGTGTTGAGAGCTCATTGGGGCTGACGAACTTTCCCCCCTAGCCAAATACTTTGCAACCACGAAACCAGTGAAGGTAACCCATAACGGACCATGCTTTATGTGGCTTGCATACCATTCCAATTTGTTTATTTCATAAGAGCTTAAGACTCCTCATCAGAAGCTTGAGTTTGAACTTGGTGCAAAGTGACCTCAGTCTTATTTATTTACAAGGGTTCCCTTTATCAGCCGTCACTCAACTTCGTACTCGAGTGGATCACGTAACAAGTGCGAGCGATAATCTGGCGTCCAACTGAGCCAGAGCATTAATTCCTGATCTCCACTATGCTAATGGTATTATCTTAATCGGGTCACTAATAATCGGTCAGATGATCAACACCAGTGAGAAATTCTGCCCGCGGTCAGACGTTTGAAACGCCTTGACATTTGGGTTTTATCGTTTCGGTTGAAGCGAGGTTTCAATAAGGTACTTTCTGTGAACCACAGAGGATAAATGGGAACAACTTGCATGCATTCAGGGCAGTGGTCCACTTATTCCCACTCACGGCTGGAGTTTGGAAGCTTGGGGGCAGTCGGGAACATCCGCAGATTCGAGGTTTGCGATTATGCTGTCTCGACCGCATCCTTAAAATATGACAGTTCGACGATACGTTAGACCAAGTCGCCATAGAATACTGCGCTGGTGTCCAACGTCTCATAAAATAATGCAGCGGTGGTGAAATCAGTGGTTTGGTTACGTTGTTCGCAAACCTAAAAACGAACTCTGCAGACTTGTACTAACTTCTTGGCCGCGGTCAGAAGGCCGTGCCGTCTCCAATGGTAGCTAAAAATCAAAAATTTCCCTGCCCAATAGAGCAGTGAGCAGTTTGGCCTCAACATATCACATGGTATCCGTTGCCGAAACGGAAACGGATCTGTCTCTGCAGATCCGGACTCTCGCCATCGTTCATGGGCCGCAAAGGGACCCTCACAAGAAAGACGTACCACTACAGGGGCCAGACTTGGTGAAATTGAGAAAGCGAAGGGTTTAAAATCACTAACCTCCCTTCCAACGTAAAGTCATTATTTACCACGACTAAAAGAAACAACGTCTAAATGTTTCAGTGTTTATGTAATTAATTCGCGGTCTGAACCTCACCAGGTAGCGTTTCCGTCAAAACAACTACCAAAGCTGCACATTTATTAACGCCCAAAAACCAGGTCAAAAACACGTAGAGTGCGTCGTTTATAAAGTGTATGCGGCGACAACATACGGAAAATTCCTTCCGGACGCGCCACTGGTAACCGGTATTCAGCAGATACTAGATCACGATTGGCTATTGGGTCTAGACTTTCGACCAGAGTTTGACTGGCAAGTGTGCGGGATAGGTTTCTTGGTCATAGCAGCGGCTAACTGCGAGCGGTATCGGTGCGGAGATCAGTCTATTTCACTAAATAGCTCAAAGATAGCCATGCGGCACTAGCTTGAATTTAGTGGAGAGAATCAGGTAGCCCTCTACAATGATGACTGTTGCTTCACTTTACTTCTACTAATGATAAACATCCTTCTTCTTAGGTTTTTGATGTCAATTTCCATGCGTAGTTCTGTTTGAAGTAGTAACAAGATGGTCGAGCGCCAATACCGTCGGTCGCGAACTCAGCCCTTCCGAACCGTGGGGAAATGGGTATTTTAACCTCATCTTGAAAGAAAGGTTGAAGACGCTAGTCTGCTTACCACAATCATTCTCTAAGGACCAAGAGCTGCAGTGCTTTAGAACAGTTCTGTCTTACCGGTTGGACTCATCCCCCATGTGATATTACGCGTTTGGAATGAACGGCATTATGCCCGTCGCCCCACAGTGGAACGCACAAACATTCCGAGACTAGTGTAGTTGTCCGCGCCAAAATATCGGCAGTCGTACAGAACTGGACCACGGTTTGTCCCCTGTCACAGAATTATCACGTTTGCGCAGAGAGCATCTAGTCAGCACTGAGATAATTCTCGCGGCACGCTATGTGAACAACAAGTTCCCCTCCAACACTCAATGCCTGCATGAAGATGGAGACCGGAAAAGCCCCATAGCACACAGATCCGTCAAATAGCAGTACTCCATCGCTCTGTAACTACTCACTCTGGTATGTGCCTCTGCAGGACACTCAAGTACCAAGCTATTCGTCCCTCCACAGTTGGACACCGCTTGTCTGATACTACTTAATTCGCTTAGGTTTTCTAAGAGTACCGTATTGTACTCGAAGGTCGGTTGACGCCCATTGTACGTTTGGTACCACGGAGATCGACCTGCGCGAAGTGATCAGTCATGAATGGCCAAAGCAGATTAAAACGAGACTACTCCGAATACAGATTCATAAGCGGCACAAGTTTGACCAGCGATCCTAGTGTCGACAGCTTACAACTGTTCAGAGAATCGGATGGTTGGTCCATCCTACACTCGACTGCTGAGCCTTTATGAAGGTGAAAGAAGTAATCACGTCTTCAGTAGAAAGTAATTCCATTGTTTAAGATCACAGTATGACGAGCGCATATATTCAGGTAAAATAATAACAAGTTTTAGAGGAGCCGAAAAGATTAGCCGCGGTTGTGGAGGAAATAAGCTCAAGCTCTGGCCAACCGAAGGGGTCAGGTCTCAAACTTTTGCACAACATCCACAAGAAAGGTAAAATTGTTGACATAACTCGATTGCCGTCATCAGAAAAATAGGTGAAATGGTGGTGTGACGAGGAGTATTCAACCGGGAGAGCACCACGTTTTGACGAGGCTTGGGAACCAGAATACCCGTTCTCCTTGAGGGTCCAAATCATCAACCCACGCCATCCCCTCTTGAACGAGTTGGTTTAGTGCGGATCGAGCACGATCCTCAGACCACTGGTAGCTGAAACAATCAAAAGGCATTTTTCATAACGATAGCAGAGTCAAATGTGGGATACACTGAGTAGATCTGTCAACTTTATAAGGAAGGAGTGGTGTGGAAGACAGTGTATGTTAACTGACAGAGCAAGAACACAGAACAGATTTGACAGTGAGTTTATTTGTATGGCACTGCGAAACCTAACGCCGCTGCTATGAGTATAGCTTTCACATCAAAACGCCATGATTTGTTAGATGAATTCAGCGGGTGAAATTCTCTCATCACGTTTTATTCTTACGTTTGTGAGATAGCAAAGTAGAACCGCTAATTTACTTCACCGATGTTCTAATCACTTCTTATGATACCAAAAGCGAAGAACAAACATGGTCAACTGACCCCCGCAGCCGCCTAAAGTACGGAGCGCGTGAGTGTGAATGTGGGTCACGCAAAATCACGTAATAATTTCAACGACTGAAGAGACCTATAAGCGAATCACCTTCACATTTTATTTCGGGTTCACCAAAACGTTGCTTTTCCATCACTTACGACCCCACCGACGATTATCATGTCAAATAACCTAGCAATGCTCTGTGTTACCAGCCCCTAGTGACACCGATAACCTGCGGTGCGACACGTTCACACACTAACATAAAACAGGAGCAGTTTATTGGAAGTTTGGAAATGATGATTTTTCACTCGGTTGAAAGCGCTTTCCAACTGACTGAGGACAGGAGCTGCTCTCTGTATTCGATTCACAGCATGGATGGTTCGTCCCCAGCTGATAAGTTTTCTGGTAAATTTCAAGCACATCTGGCACACAGAAGAATCGTTCAGTAGCCCTTGCAGGGTGTTACTGAATGACCTGACAGCTTGACTTTGGATAAACGATAAGTCGCCCATGAAGGGGTCCCTTCCTGAGACAGGAATGTGAGTCTCCAGTGGATCAGAATTCACACTAGAGACTTGTGTAACTGAACTGCTGGATGAACAGACAGCACATGCAACATCGGCTGAACACTGTTCTCCTAGTTGGCACTTACTATCCCATCATTTTTGGGGATGATTTGCGCCGAAATCTCAGGGCCTAGCTGAAGGATCATGACTCGTTGTTTAGAGACATGCGGAGTGCGCGAATTACGGTATATCATTCTTTGTGATGTTCGACAGGGAATCCGACCTCTCAAACAGAACATGAAATCGAATGCGAATGCAGATTAGTTCCATTCAACTTCGACAAGTTTCCGTAGTTGAAGAGTATAGAGTTGACCTGGCTAGAAAACTACTGGAAGCGCACAGTGATGTAGATGATAATTTCTTGAAGGCTGAATGGAAGCGGGTCAAAAGAGCTATGACTTTAGCCTTCATAACTGCTCACACAAGCCATCCGACTCGACCAAACAAACACCGGATATTGTCGAGATCAGCAGATCTTATTGCGACCACAAAGGCCATACTACCAACTAGTGACTGTGATGGCGCACGTAGATCCCTCAAACATCGGATAATAAAGAGCTTGAAGAATGACAAAGAACGCTGGTGGATTTTGAAGGTCTAGAGGATGGAGTAGGCTTTCAGTGCAGGAAATAGCCGAGCCCCATCTCAGCTGATTCCAACTAACGGTCAAAAGAAAACAATTGTCAGCGAAACGATATGCAAAAAATACGGAACAGCAATTCAGTCCCTCAATCGTCTTCTTGAGCAATGGGCTGAACACTTCAAAGAATAGTTCAGCTAGTTTCCTTCAATACAACCGCTGGAAGAACCCAGCGGGCCTGAATGGAACACTGACACTAGCCCACCATCAACAACAGAAATTTAGCGTGAGATGCCAATTCTCAAGCGCTACAAGGCGCCGACGGCCTACACCCAGCACTCTTCACAGAAGGTGACGACCTCCAAGTGAACAGTCTAAAATCCATACTGCAGAAGATTTGGAACGGAAACAGAATGGTAGCCAAATGGAGCTCCTCAACCGTCGTGTCAGTTTTCAGGCAGGGCTCAATAGAGTCATGCGACAATCATCGTAGCGCCAGCCTGGTATCCGTCGCATCTAAGGTGCTCTCTGGCAATATTTTGCGCAGGTTGGTCGATTATCAGGAGAGAGGTTTGTGAAAACCAAGCTGGGTTTCGCCCTGGCTGAGGATGCATCGACCATATCTTCACCTTTAGACAAGTTCTTCGAACAGCGCCACTGCTTCAAACGTCCCGCGTTGGTCGTTTTTCTTGGTGTGAAAGCTTCTTTTGACTGTTGATTGTGAAAACTTAATCAGTGTCTGGTCATCAAAGGTGACCCTTCCAAATTTACATACCCAATAAGGGCTCTGTATGTGAACTCCTATGGGCGCGTATGAATATGCGGCAAAATTTCGCCTGAGTTCACCACGTCCAGTGGTGAAAGACAAGGCTGTCCTCTCTCAACTTTTCGCTTCAACTTTGTTATTGATGTGCTGCTTGAAATTTCTCTATCTACCTCCAAAACTTCGGAAATCGAAGTGCTATCAGGACATCCCCTTACATATATTGCTCTCGTTGATTCATATCCTTCGGAGATGCAAACTACTTTAAATAGCCTAAATAACTGCCGCACGGTTTGGCATGCGCCTCACACCTGCAAAGTGTTAAGTGCTGCTACAAGACTGGGCTGGATCAAACCCAAACCTCATTTCTTGCAGACGAGCCAGCCTAGACAGCTGTGTAAGCTCCGGTGGACTGGCTGGAGATGAGATTACTTCCCGAATGGGGAAAGCCAGGGCAGCTTTTGCTGACCTCCAACATCTACCCGCGCCGACGACAGACAGTTTATCTGTCAAGGGTAGAGTTTAAAATGCGGCGGTGTGATCCATCCTGCTTTATGGATCAGAGACGTAGCCTGTGCGCGCAGAAGACATACGAAAGATGTCAGTGTTTGACCATCGGTGTCTTCGAAGCATTTGTGGGGTATGTTAGGAGCGTCGGATTAGTAATGTTGAGGTACGTCAGACGGTCCTAGGATAGTTCGATCGCGGGGTCAGTGGCACTTGTGCATCAAGGGTATCATCTTCAGTGCATAGCTACTCCGTTCCCGAACTAGTCATATATGTCAATGTCCCCAAGGCTTGGCTGTATGTCCCACATTCCGGTTATTGAAACTGTAGCAGCTGGAAGCATCGCACTTACATTACACGGTTTAAAGCTGATAAATTGAAAAATTGCACCATAATACAACAAGCCAGGAAACGGGAAATGGAAGTCTGAGTCCATCCTATCTCTGTAACCGCTAAATTACGCAAGAAAACCTCTGCACATGAGTCGTACCACCATACGAACGACGGAGAATAATTCGACTGGTGAAATTTGGGTGTGACTTGGGGTCCATAGGATAAAGCAGTTCGTCTAGGAGCAAGACGTTTTATGCAGATTTGTCCTGTAAACTGTAGTTAACATTGGGCTCCCTTTTACTCGGAGGGACAAGTAAGTTGGCAATGCGGCCAAAATGTTGGTGTATGGAGGAACCACAGAACAACAAGATGATCCGATCACACTGATGAACCAACATGTACCGTTCGTATTCATATTTTGAAGGACCTCACAACAAACGGACCGACTTTCTAGACGCCATTACACAAGTATCACATATGTAGATGCGGAAATTCTATGTTAAACAGGAGCATTCATGAAAACTTTTGTTCTCATTCGACAGAATTCTGTTCTGCTTTGACAATGAACCCTGTAGGAAAATAGCCTCACCTAACAAGAAGGTAGCATGAGTTTATTTCCATTCTCACTTTTACAAACAGACCTCAAGAATGATTATAAGAACTGAACACTCAATCTCATTTGCATTTTTCTAACGTGGTTTGAGGAACTGTAGGCGGCCAACCCACCACCCACACCTGCTATGACAAAATCACATTGACAGTTTTGGGCTTTGCTGAGACAATGACTTATTTTACCGAATTTCACGTTGAATTCGGGAAGGTTCCGAGGAGAACGTCAAAGTACACCAGAGGATCAAAGTTAGGTTAGTTGTGGAAATATTTGCTCCGAGACAGCACGCGCATAAGTGTGCACGTCTCAAACGAATGTTGCCTTAATTATTCCAGAGGGACACTTCAAAATCATCGGTCGTTTGACTCCACAAAGGCACCATCTGCCCATTGTGTACCTGGGTTTGAGATACATCCTCAAATATACTGATTTGTTCCAGTTCTTTACAAAATGGTTTCGGCAACCTCCCACCCCGTTCCTAATCGACCCTATTTGTTCGTTTCACCCAAAGTTATTGATTTTTCAGATTACGTGCTACAGAAGAGCAGCGATACAAATGTAGCACAATGAAACATGGTTAGTGAAAAAGAACCATTCACTCAGTATTACTCTAGAATAATCTAAGCGGAAACCATGGATAACGAAAATAATATTCAAGAGTAAAACATACTGTTTTGTGCAGGCACTCAGTGTGGTGTGCCCGTCAGTAGATTCCGCGAGTCCGAGCACGCTAGTTTTGTCGGAGCCCATCTCGCCAGGGACGGACTGGACCAGGGGGAGACCTCCTGGAAGAGAAAACAACGTGAAACCGGTACCTAGACACCGAAGCTTCCTGACTGAACGTTGGACATCGTCAGCTGTGACTTCAGACATATGCGAACTTTTGAAGGCGTTAAGTTGTGAAACCAGCTCTGTGAGGGGCATTATGCCCCCGGTTCGCTGTTGATTGGCCATGCATACCTGCAATACATTGGCAAGTACCACCATAGTATTATGTGGATTACATACTGACAATAAAATTAGATAACATTTTCAAATTGAGGGCTACACTAAGGCATAATTTATAGGCTACGTTCCGATTTGTACGGTGTGCGCAGGGTGTAAACTCAGGATTTTTTACGGTCCTGGCCCTTAGTAGTAACAGCAGTGCCGTATGGCCGCACAGTCCGCTAATAATGCCCCGCTCGTCAGTGAACGGTTCCTTAGTTAAGATAACAGCGCAATTCACAAAGCCAGTGGGTATCCGAATAGAGTCCCACCAATAAGCAGCTGTTCCCTTGCTGGGACTAACCAATGATGGACAGCTTAAAATCGACACTGCAGACCGAGCTTCCACCCTCAGCAAGTTATAGCTACTGCTCTGTGTGTGATGGGCAGCACGGCAGAGGTTGACTCAGTACTGTTACGATATAACTAAATAGTATGCAACACTTATTATTTACTTATGCTTGGATGACGAACACTACCAATGCGGTCTGTAACCACTGGTCTTTCTGCAGTAAAAAAGGCTCAATGATACGAAATGGTTAATTCGAATCGTACCTCAATGATCCGAATTGCAAGGTGATAGTAAAATTCACCAAGACCAAGAGCCTGTGTCCAACAGCCCCGACTGTAGGCAATCGGATCCACACCGATGCTGCTGCACATCGCCTGAAATTCCCGTCTGAAATGTGGATCGCTCTTTATTTTATGTCCATGCTTTGCAGCAAATGCCTCAAGGGATTCGCGAAGTCGAGACAGTTGTCGGGACAAAGTGGAGAGTTGATTTTCCGATAACTCTTGACCCTTTTCCTTGAACCTAGCTGCAAGTAACTCCTGATTCCTGATAGCACCGATTCCGACGCCCCTCCTCATCACAAATCTATAAAAAAACAATCAGGTGTAAATAACGAGAAAACAAGAACTGGGGAGCTAGTGCGGTAGCATGCACTAATCGAAGAACAAGGTATAGGAATTAAGAAACTGTTGTGATGAACTAGTCAATACCGACAGCCCTCGTGTACACCAAACATTTGGTAAAGCAAACAAGGGTTACGACATGTTGTGTCTTGCTAAACGGTCGTACAAATCTGTGTCAGTCCTTAGCAAATGAACGATTAGGGCATGTCTTCGTTTGAGCCATAGCCCACACGTGACATATCCATCCAATTGACGTGCTGTTCGGTTACTAGGGATGGTTGGCCTCCAGGCACACACAGCTTCTCATCCGCTATCCATTGGTGTGTCCACTCTAGAATTGATGCACAGCCGATGGCTACCTATCTGAACTCGATAGGAATAATAATAGGAATAATAATAATAATAATAATAATAATAGCTCAGCTGTAACAACCTTCCGGTGCCTAGCTGCCATGCCGCCCGAAGGAAGGACGAGGGCTGGGATACTGTCAGGTTGTCCAAGTCTAGACAGGGAAAGTCTTGAGGCAGGGGTGGCGTTCGAACCACGGACCTTCCGGTTAGTAACTTCGCGCTCTAAACACTGGGCAATCTCAGACATGAACCCACTGACCAGAGGGTCCGCCTTTTGAACACAGTCTCAGTATCTCGGCCTGCACTGTCTACGTTTTGGCAACAGCAGTATCTAGGACGTCACGCTTCCTCCTGGTGGTGTGACAGTTGGGCACCAAAATTGTGTTGTAGCTGAGCGATCATTATTACTCTTATTATTATTCCGCTCCAATAGCTTGCAATGACGGTTTTTATTAAATGTGTTCTTTCAACTTGAGTTGGGTGGTCGGACTCAATAGCTGTATTGAGCCTGTGGGCTTAACGGCTGAGGCCTCTTTCCACATGGTTCAGTCATGTCAGAAATTTCAAATACGGGCGACTAGACAAAAAGCAACAAGCACCTGCACAACGAGTAATCGTATTCCGAGACGGCCTGCAGGTGCAGTTGTACTTTCCTATGTGATTGGATTGTGAAGGCAGAAGGGCCTTTTCTTCAGGCGACCAGCATGTCCATATTTATGTGAGCAGCGATACTATCCCCCCCCCCACAAAAACCCTAAAACATGTTGCTTTGCGAGTCGGACTTTTGAGTCAAAGGCTAGGTGAAGGGTCTTGCAACAAAGTAATAAGTTTATCCACTAACTTGTGGGTCACAATTGTAGGTCAAAAGCTCAGAATAAGGTATCTCAAACAAACCTGCCACTTCAGCCTAGACAACCGGGAGGTAAAATCTGTCGAAACAGCTCTGAGGCTATCAGGAAAGTTAGCTTCCTGAAAGCAATCATTGAACGCCCGGAATCTACGGAGACTCGGCTCCGCTGGGTGTTGGCCAGACAGAAAGCGCCTCCTCAATATGCAGCGCGTCACAGCCTTGCATCAAACCCAGACAGCGCGAGTCAGCGTTGATCAAGGACAGACAACGCCTCCGCAATATGCAGCACGTCGCTGCCTAGTACTAAAGCCAGACCGCGTGCGTCAGCATTGGACCAAGTTCAGACAGTGTCCTTCCAATAAAAAGCTTGAAGCCGTTGTACTCACGCACTCACGCTCTCGCACCCACTTTGTTGGAATATAGCTATTGGGTTCCCTTCCGTGAGCCTTGTTCTCTCCGACACTAGGCACTGGAGCGGGTCAGCAGCAGATACCACAGGCCGGTGAATCAGCAGATATAACAGACTGGCGACGCCCGAACCCACAGAATCATGATAATAACTGCTGAAGCGTTGAAAAAAATTCTGCTGCAACAACAAAACCAGTTTGAAGCGGCGCAATCACGTTTGGTAGAAACACTGACGCAGCAACTGAAAATTCAACCAACAAAGTTCGCTCCAGATACAAATTCAGTCGACTTGATCGACTGATCGTGGTTCAGACGTTACGAAGATGTCTTCCAAGTCAAACTGAAGCACAAAGATGATGCCTGGTGAGTACGCTTATTGCTCAGAAAGCTTGGCACAACGGAACACACACGGTATTCCAACTTTATCCTGCCTAAGAACACGCGAGATCTCAGTTTTGACTGAACCGTGCAACAACTCTCAATGATTTTCGGTGAGCGTAAGTCTTTGTTTAGTACTCGCTACCAATATATGAAACGGATGACACCGGAATCAGAGGACTACATTGCTTATGCCGGTAGAGTCAGCCTTGAATGCGAACAATTCAAGTTACCTACCATGACGGAAGACCAGTTCAAGTGCCTTATTTTCATATGCGGTCTTCAGTCGCATTCAGACAGTGATATCAGGGCGAGACTATTGAGCAAGATTGAACAAACTCCCGAGATAACGCTGCAGTCAATTACCCATGAGTGCCAGCGCCTTTTAAATCTTAAGCACGACACGGTCATGTTGGAGAAGCCCTTATCCAACCCTGCGTTCAACATTGCGAAGACGACATCGAAGCACCCTCCCGTGGTGACAAATTCGAAAGGAGGAAAACCTCCTTCAGCATGCTGGCAATGCGGCGAATGGCGTTTTGTGCGATTGTGTCCGTACAAAAATCACAAATGTTCAGTGTGCAATCGACGTGGGCACAAGGAAAGCCAGTGCTGGACGCGGAAAGCTAGCCAAAGACGCAGTCAGACCCGGAGGTCACGAAGTAAACGGAGCCAATCAGAACCACGTTTTAACGCAATACTTGCAACATTCGATAACCAGATCGATGCTCGTCGCAAGTATGTCACAATCAGAGCAAACGGAAGCACAGTTCGATTGCAGCTCGACACGGCTTCTGATATTACGATTGTTTCCAGGCGCACCTGGAGAAAGATCGGATCAACAAAACTCAGACCGACAATCAACACTGCCAGAAATGCTTCAGGTGGTAAGCTTCAACTACTTGGTGAATTTGATTTTGTTGGCTTGGCCACGCGCTGCGTATGCCAGTCGACCGACTTCCTCGAAGGGCTCTTTTCGCCCAACCATGTGAAGAGTGGAGGAGAGCCAGAGGCGGTCAAACAATGACTTGGCAACGAAGTATGAAAGCCATTACCAGCAAACTCAGCTGCGCTGGTCACTGCCGTCTTCCTGGATGGGGACC